TGATACTTCCTGTTCACCACATTTTGTTGACTGAAAAAAGATACTAGTTATTTGGGAAGCCTGCAAAAATTCTAGTGTTACAGTATTAAAAAACCGTCATATACTAGAATGACCCGCGCGCCGAGGTTTCCGCCTCTCTTAAGTTCCGTAAATATACTGAACATTACAAAACATTCGTTCGTCGTCTAATCAAAAAATAAAACAAAAATCCCAGCAATGTTATATAATTATATAATTACATTGTCGCATGGTACTGCTTATTTCTTGAAGTACACTCTTCCTGTTTTTGCGGTGTATTTGTCTTTTTTTTTGAACTGCACGGAAAATATGCGTAAATAATTTGACGTTTCTTCATTTTTTTTATAGGATAAGGGTGACAAATGAGCACACAGTCCACCTGATGGTAAGTGGTTGCTGTGCCCCATAGACATCTACATCTATCTTCGATTAAGAATCAAAATGCAGTTGCGTTGTCACCCTTGAGGACTAAGATGGAATGCCTCGTTTCCATTAAAAAGGGTCTCCGGTTCTCTACACTCACCAAACGAAATACAGCAGCGTTATGCTGCTATTTCACGCTGGCATTCTGTGAGAGCGCGGTCCTTCCCCGGTCGAGCCGACTCATTCGTGCTACAACCATAATATAGCTGCAGCATGGCTCTAATCTCTAATTCTTCTGAACAAATTTGATCCATGATTATTTTGTTTCATGACACAGCCGAGGAAACCATTAAATAAAAATAATAATAAAAAATATTAATTTTAATGCATTAACATTTCCTACAGTGATTATATATAAATATTTTACTGTTCATAATTACTTAACATTATACGACGATATTGTCAAGTCTGCGCATAAAAATGTTTTACTCTTTGACATTCACGTATACGTTGCAATTAATAAAATATAATTAAATTAAACGTGTTTTGAAGATAATAATAAGTTTAAATTACTGGTGAAAATTCACTCCTTGACTTTTCCTTATATTTCTCGAGTAGTTTGAACAGTATCTCAATGTACACGAAGGCATATTAATTTAAAAATAATTCTTCACTCTAACTTCTCACGTTGCAACAACCGCTTGACACAGACTAAGACTGAGTTTGAGAGCGCGCACTCTAACGCGTGTTACAAACAATCGAGTTGAGGCGCCTTCTCTAGTACGTAGTACATTATATCTCAATGGTTAAATATAACTTAAAAGTTTGCACCAAACACATAAATATGTGTTAGTTTTTATTTTGTTTAATTTTATTTTATTCCTTCTTTTTTCTGTGTTGGAAACTATGTATGTGATAAATCCACTCGTACATTTCATTTTTTATTTTTCATTTATTTCAACAAAGTAACAGTTTTAATTACAATATAATTTCTTCATGCTATTAAACACAATTATGTTTGTCTTGGCACTGTTACTTTTATTTACATAATATTGAAATTAACCTTTACTTAAACTAAATATAAAATACCATTTTAAAATTGTGTGAAAGAATATTAAACATTTTTTGTGTTTACATTATTTTATATAAACTTTATAGTAGACATTTCTTAAACAATAATTATTTTTTTTGTGGAGAGGGTAGTTTTTGGATATTTTTTACAAGAAACAGTGAAGCAAAAATGTGATTGTTATTGTCTTCGATTGTTCGACTCGCCTATACACTATACTGCAAATTAATTACGCGCGTACACACGGAATGCATTTTTAAGGAATAGTTTTTATTAATGTAATTTATATGGTTACGCGTTTTGTTTATTTGTCCGTTTTTTTGGCAATATATTTGCATAGATAAATATAAATTATCATGATTGTCATTAAAATATTTTTTTTAAGAATTTTAATTATATAAAAAAATTACATAATATCGACTAATCACTAAGTTCTATATAAATGGGAAGACTGGTCTCCACGACACAGGAAATCCTAGTGTGGAGCCCAGTGATACTGTTTGAAATTATAAAATGATAAAATATGAGACATAAATAATGTAACATAACAGTAACAGTAACTCAGTATCTGTATATTTTTTGAACGGAATAAATATTTCTTATTTCTTATTCTATTATAATAATAACCTTTATTATTTTCTCTCACAAATAGAACATTGCAATTTATCTTTTACAAACATACGTTTTTCTTATAAATAAAACAAAGATTATATATATATATATATATATATATATATATATATATATATATATATATATATATTTGTGGGAGACGGGAGTCCAAACTAGGATACCCTGTGCTATGGATCTCCCGGCTCCCCCGTTAGGATGATCAACTTGATTTTTTTAATTTTTTTTACTGATAGACAATAAGCGGGGCAATCCCCTTTATTAAAATTTTCGTTCATGATTTTGACAACGCATTTGGTTTGCTCTGTATTCAGTTTCAGTCAGTTGTTTAGTGCACAGCTAAGTTAAAAGTTACTTAGAAGTTACAACACAAAGAATGTGTACTTATAGCATACTGCATTCAAATGCTGACATCAAACCTCAGTTTAGTGAATGTTGTTAAAAGTAAGTTGCGAAATATATGGCACTTTAAAACAATTAATGCAATTTTAATTGTTCCTACGGGACAAACTGCTGTTGAACGCAATTGCTATAATTATAATCTTCCGGATCCGATCAGATTATTGGAAAAATATAGCCAGAAATGTGTGTACTTATATTATGTATGCACGTAGGAAGTTATACTTCTTTATCGTAACAAAACAAAAAAACTTGAGAGACAATTACCCACTGAAGTTGTCGCTTTTAGGTGACAGTATGCGCGCGCATCATAACAACTTCATGGTGTCGTTTTTAGGACACCTGAAAAGTGTGCGCGCGCATCGTAAAAATTCACTCTCATAATTTTTCCTAAACGCCCCAAAAGAAGTATAATTTCAAAAACTTAATGTTGTTTTCTTTATTATGATGATAACGAAATTAAACGATTTGGTCGAACTTCTTTGTGTTTTTTACTATAATTTTTAATTATTTAAGAAAAAATGTAGTTAATATACCATGAACTCTAACGCTTTTTTAAAGCGATATTCTCATGTAATCTGGCGCTTTTTGTGTCGTCCTAGCGCTGAATGTGTTTTTTGATTTGGCAGCACTGTTTTTTTTACCCAAGCCCACAAACTAGCGATGGGCAAGGGAAAAACTCGATAAATATCGAATTGATATTTATAAACAGTATCAGTATATATCGCGTGATAAATATCGATATATCGTCATCATCTGCATGATGTAAAGATAAAGTCCAACCACACATGAATACTTTTGTATAGTGTCCGACCGAAACAGGATTTTCAATCGAAACCGAAACCGAAACTTATTTAGACATGTTAATTTTTTTATTGTATACTGAAATTTGATATATTTTTATACATATTGGATAATGATAGACAAATAGGTAATGCATGTTGATGAAAAAAAGTCATTGTAATGGTCATGTATCAATATATTTATTTATTTTAAAGTAAAAATCAACTATTTAACGTTAAGAAATACTTATTTAAGTCATTTTGTAAAAAAAATCACCACTTATACCCATAAATAGTTTTTTTTTTAGTTTAATTGTGAACATATTTTATTGTGTTCACAATATTGTTAATATTATTCGATGAGAGCATTAACTTAATATATCACACTCACACACTAACACAATAAACATACAACTTAACAAAATCCCAGAAAATATACAAAGCCTGCTCACAGTTTAAAAATTTAACTAAACTAAGTTTGTATAAAATGGGTTATTATAATATTAAATAATTTATGGATGATAATAACCCCTGGGAATGAGGTAATCACTACCAAGTTATTTTTATATTGTTTTGTTTTGTTAATTGTGTTACATACAAGATTTTAAGCAGTGGCGTAGACTTCGTCCACGGCCTCGCAATTAAAGGGGCCTCGCGAGGCCCTTTAAAATTCAATGCCCCCAGATTTTACTACAGATGACTAATTAATTTGATCACTTTTACTCTGGAAAAAGAAAGTCACAAATTTATGTGTGTTTCTTTGGGGCCTCGCAAGAAGCCCCTCTTAAGTGCGACTGCGAAGCGGTTGTAACTACCTTCAAAGACCGCGACTGTTACATTGACGGAATACGAGACTTGTCAGGAATTAATAGATAATGTCGTGTCAAAGCATATTTGGTAGGATGGATCTATTGGGTACATCCTTGGAACGAAAGAAAAGTAGCCTCGCTGATGCAACTTCGCCCACGTTTATATTAGTCCACGATACGCCTCTGATTGTAAGCTGTTATTTAAAAAAAAAGTCCCGCTAGGTTTCTTGCTGGTTCTTCCAAGGACAGAGGTTTTTTTTCGAACCAGTGGTAATTAAACAAAAGAGTGACTTTCAATAAGTATTATTTATAATCTATATTGAAGAAAAGTGTCTGTTTCTGTATAATTATGAATAATACACGATAATCCACGAACACTGAGTTTTGGCGCCGCCGAAGGTTCGGCAGATTTTTTGCCGAAACCGAAACTATTACCGAAACTAGATTTTTTTGCCAAAACTTGCCGAAACCGAAACCGAATCTTCGGTCGGTCACTACTTTTGTACCTCCTTTTGTTGTTACATGTTTTGTCATCGATACTCTAAAATAAATATCGATATATCTCGCATTCAAACAGAGACGATATATATCGGTATTTGGATATTTTTTGCCAAGCCTACCACAACTAATAAGAAGTGCTAGCGCATCCAAGCATCCAAGCCTATTGATAACGTAATTTTCGTATCTACGTAATTTTCAGTGTGAAGCATAGATAAGAGTGTATATACGGAAAGTGTGAAGGTAATAGATAAATAAATATGTAGACTAGCAACCTAGTAATCTTTTTATTCAAGGTTGCACAACGCAACGCGTGTTCCTAATTAATTTAATTAGTCTCATAGTCTGTGGTTGCAAAGTAGGTACGCCGCACGTTAGGTTACATTTTGATTTATTCATTTGCGGTAAGCAGTAATACGTATACTGAATAAAATGTCGACAGCGGGAAAAGTAATAAAATGTAAAGCGGCGGTTGCTTGGGAAGCTGGAAAACCACTTACTATTGAAGAAATTGAAGTGGATCCACCGAAAGCTGGCGAAGTAAGAGTTAAAATTCTGGCTACCGGTGTCTGTCATACCGATTCCTACACTTTGTCCGGTAAAGATCCTGAAGGAGTATTCCCTGTTATCCTTGGCCATGAGGGTGGTGGTATTGTAGAAAGTGTCGGAGAAGGCGTCACGTCGTTTAAGCCTGGTGATCATGTTGTTCCTTTGTATATACCGCAATGCAATACATGTAAATTTTGTTTAAATCCTAAGACAAATCTCTGCCAGAAAGTGCGCGTGACTCAAGGTCAAGGTGTTATGCCTGACGGTACAAGAAGATTCCGCTGTAAAGGCAAGGAACTGTATCATTTTATGGGATGCTCAACGTTTAGTGAATACACGGTTGTGCTAGAAATTTCTTTGTGCAAAGTGGCTGACACTGCTCCATTGGACAAAGTCTGCCTTCTAGGTTGTGGTATTCCTACTGGATACGGCGCCGCTTTGAACACCGCGAAAGTGGAACAAGGATCCAATTGTGCAATCTTTGGTCTTGGTGCAGTTGGCCTGGCTGTTGCATTGGGTTGCAAGGCAGCTGGTGCTAAACGGATTATAGGAGTGGACGTAAACCCTGATAAGTTTGAAGTGGCTAAAAAGTTTGGAGTTAATGAATTTGTCAATCCTAAAGATTATGATAAACCAATCCAGCAAGTTTTAGTTGACTTGACAGATGGAGGTTTGGACTACACTTTTGAATGTATTGGCAATGTTAACACAATGCGTGCAGCTTTGGAAGCCTGCCACAAGGGTTGGGGAGTGTCGGTAATTATTGGTGTTGCTGCAGCAGGAGAGGAAATTAGTACTCGCCCATTCCAGCTAGTAACTGGCCGCACATGGAAGGGCACAGCTTTTGGAGGATATAAAAGCCGTGATAGTGTACCTAAGTTGGTTGATGAATATGTTAACAAGAAGTTGCCATTGGATGAATTTGTAACGCACAATGTGCCACTGGCAGAAATTAATGAAGCGTTCCATTTGATGCACTCTGGAAAGTCCATTAGAACAGTTGTACATTTTTAAGTAAAAAATCAAATAATGAACCAACTACACTCATATGCATTACACATTTATTTGAGGTGTTAACAGTTACTTTTTTGTATATGGATTTAAATATATAAGTGTTACAAAATAAAATTGTTTTATTCAATCCATTATCCACTACATATTAATTAATTTTTATACTGTGATAATCTAGTTTTATCAATTTGCTATGGTAATAAAAATTTTATGATTCAATAATATGTATTCATTATTTACATGTTGTATATCGTTTAAAAATAATAAATAAAAAAAATAAAAACTCTTTATTCAACATTATGTAATACAATTTCTTAATATCTAAGTTATATAAAATCTAGGTTGTTTTCTGCTGATTGCCAATCGGCAAAGGCCTCCACAAACCTTTTCCACTCGTTTCTATCTTTTGCAACCCGGCTCCAGGCCTCACGTCTTTGGCGGGGTCTTCCCCTCTTTCTTATGGTATTCATTCCTGGGGTACCATTCTGTGACCTTCCTGCTCCACTTCCTCTACTCATATGCCCAGCCCATTTCCACTTTAGTTTCCTGACATTTGTTGCTATGTCCTGAACCTTTGTGTTTTTCCTAATGTCATCTAACCTTTTCTTTATCAAAATAAAAATTAGAAATAAGGGAAGTAAACAATTGTTTACTTCCCTTATTTTTATTTTGAAAATAAGTATATTAAACAAGAAATTACCTTATATATGTACTTATTTTAACATAATATGTATTTATCATATTATGATAAATAGTTTTTACTCTGTTTATTACAGTATGTGTTGGCATTGTTAGAAAATGCGTCACCTCGATTAGTCTTGTTAGTGTCAAGAGGTAAATATGGGAAACGCCAGATCTTACAAATTCCGGAGGTTTATCCATTACTATGCCTGGTGTAAACCTAGACTGATAATGGGGAACAGGATCAAAGTGCGAGATGACTAGTACCGTGATGTTCAATCCTCCAACCGTGCGTGAAGAACAAGGCAGTTATTGACTACAATGGGAAAAGCCCATGTCTAACATTGGATTTTTCTGAGCTGATGAATAAAATGATGTATTACATACATATACCCCATGGCTGGCCAAAGTGGTGTGGAGTGGAGTGGCCTATGTTTAGCAGTGAAAAGATGAAGCGGGACGTTCCGATTTTCAGGGGTCTGGTGACACATCACCATTCACCCTTGATCGGGGCGCTAAATGTCCCGATTTTTCATTTACTTAGTCAGTACTTTGATCTTTTGAACTTCCTTATTCAGTACTTTGATCGGTAATTTTGAGAGCAAAAATTAATACATCTTTAAGCTGCTAGTAATATGCTGCTACGATACAGATGTCATTCATGCTGTCTCGTTTTTTTTTCTCTCGCCGCCCACCCCGGAATGTTGGACATCGAGATCGTCAATTCTAGTTGAATTCCTCCTTTATTATTTCATTATTTTACTAGTAAATACTAAATAGTACAGTACCTAACTCACAAGCTGTATACGTATGTAAGTTTAGTGAAATAAAAACGCCTTGTGGGTGGGTAAGTTCTATGGTAGGTAGAGCTTACCCACAACACATTTGTATTTCATTGAAATTGTCTAGTGGTAGAACTTCAACCACTAGTCAATTTCATCAAGCGTTTGTATTGTTCTTTTTAATAAATAAAGTGACATTATGTGTGCGATGATGAGACCACATTGATCAAGTTTGCATAATGCAGGATTTTTTTGTAGCTGTCCCGATTGTAAAACCAAATTCCCGATTATTTTAACCTTCCGTCCCGAAATTGAACACACTGGATCTGGCAACACTAACCACTACGTTCATAATTTGAAGGTTGTTTTAACACCATCGCGCGTTCTTAACTTAGTACCTAGTTAGTACAGTTGAATTCAGATATCGTGGTTGAATTGATGAATTCCCATGTGATTTCTAGACTAAATGATTTCGATCATGTGGCGAAAATTAATAATTGTGTTTGTCAAACTCTAAGGTCAAACTTTTTAACCTCATTTGGCATTTCACCCCCATTTAAATGACGCAGATAATTTACCTACTGAAAGATCAAACTATATTTATATTTTTAACTTAACTACTTTTTCTAACTAGGAGTCCGCCTCGGCACAATACATTGTTACAGCCCTGGATCTTGAATTTTTCGATACGGGGCAAAACCTGAAGAATGCCGCCCTTGCCCCCCAAATTTTATCTTTATCGTCATCATCAATCCCGACGCCCGACTGATGGACATAGGTCTCCCCCAAAGAACGCCACAACGACCGGTCTAGAGCTGCTCTTTCTCTGTTAAGCCTTTATTTATTCTATATGGACTGAAATAAAACGAGAGATTAAAAACAATTATTATATGGTACATCTTAATTACAATTTTACTCTTCGAGGCTTTTGTGCTGCAAACAAATCTATGGCCTTGTCATAATTAATCTCATGAGCTTGCTCTTTGGAAACGTAGTTTCTGGTAGAATTCAACTGTGTAAAATCTGTTTAAATTTCGCTCGTACTTTCGTCCCAGATCTTCCCCATGCTTCTGCAGTTCTTAAGTTGACATATTCAAAGATTTCAGTAGCATTGAGAAATTCAAATTTCAAATGTTGTAACACTATCAATCGTATTTTTAATTTCTGATAAGATTTGATCAAATACCATCATTGTTGCCTTAGAAAAAAGTTGAACAGGTTGAAGTGTTTGTGATTCGGCATCACACATCTCATTATTTTTTTTACACCTCGTAATTCGTAAGCTCATCATCAAGACATCCATTAAAGAGACGGAACGCGCAAGGATTATATCTTTCTTTTTGAATGTCGATATTTACTCGTTTGATTTCGCAGAGAATGGTTGCTTAATTATTTGTTAGGTTTATTGCTTCCAGGCATGATGAGGCAGAACGGGCACCAACAAGGTTAAGGAGTGAGCCAGACACCGTACGAACTCAGCCACTTCATTCTTTTCTGCAATCCTGGCTTGCACTCCGTTATAGATATAGTACCCATTATCATACGATTGGCCATGACATTGTCTAATATGTGAACCATCAATTGTCAATTTTTCAATGATTTGTTGACTAATATACTCCCCTGTCTGTCCAGCAACTTCTATGAAATCAATGCAACTTTCTTTTATTGCAAACACATCCCCAGTTTTGTTTACATAGCGAACGACCTGGCTCATTTGTTTTGTATGCGACACATCTGCAGTGCAGTCTAACAATATTATGTAGTATTTAGCTTCATTGGTGTCGTTTAGAATACAATTTTTCCCTGTTTTTGCCATTATGTAAATAATTTCGTTCTGTATTGTCTTTGATAAATATATTACTTGTCCCTTTGTTATGTGATCTATATGAAACTTAAGAGTTGAATTATGTTTGGAGAGTAAGAAACTTTAATTCAAGAAGTTTACTTGACCAGGCTAAGAACCAATGTTCTTAGCCTGGTCAAGTAAAACCTCATCATACAATTATGATGAGGTTTCTAGGGGCTTCGAGGGACCCACGAAAGACTGTTTGTTGATAGGTACAATACAGCAACTATAACAATACGTAGGATCTGTCTGTATTTTTCTTTCTTTGTTTGAATTAAATTTTCAATGTCTTGATCAATACCCACCCTGGCAACATTTAATTTGTTGTACTCGAGTTATCCACTTAATCATACACTCTTTGTGCATTTAAGATGCCTCGTGCTCGGTAGTAAACAACGCAGATGTAGCGGAAGAGGAAGATTTCTAGTAAATCTTGCAGCACGTACAAAAAATTGCATTTTCTGTCTTAGAATATACACTAGCCAATGTTTTGTACCAAATAAAAGATGTTAAATGTGTGCTAGCGCGTTCAGTTGATCTACTAAATTCAGTGTTTTATCAGTGATTTTCTGCTAATAACACAGCTTGAGTGGTAAAGAAAGATCGTTGCTGGTCGGTCATTTTTTCCATGTCTGGCCCATTGCCTGAGTTTGTCAAATCAAATCCGGTTTTTTGCAGTTCATCCAAATCTGAGTGATCCGATTGGGATTCTTCGTATTCTGGCTGTTGCTCTTCGCAGATAGATAATGAAGATTGCACTCTCAGATCTGTCAGTACTCGTAATCTATCTGGACGATGTAGGTGATAAATCTTGATTCACTTGGTCGTGCAAAATGCAAGAAATGTCCTCTAATTGAATATCATCGTCGGAAGCTGCGCCAGGTAATGGCGCTAAGTCACTTTGTCATCTTCCGCAAATTGTTTTTCCTGAAAGGCCCTATCTTTGACCATTTCCCTATATTTTTTTTGGGAACGAAGTTCCTTATCACACGGTACGAATTCGACGGATGGCGCTAGGCGAGAAAAAGTGTACGATTTTTCCGTCACGACCCCCTTTCTATGCGTCAACAGTGCGAGCGAGATGGAATAATATCCATCTCGCACTTTTTCTTATCTTGCCATGAAAGAAATATTATTTTATTTTAAATGACGCTTAATTTTAATAGTCGCTACTAATTCATTTATTTGTATTTGTTAATCAATAATATAATACGTTTATCAATAATACTATACTACGAAAGGAACTTCGTTTCAACCGAGTGTTTCACGACACTCACCCATGTTTTATTTTTATAGAAGAGGGGCTGGCAAACGATCATACGGCTCACCAGATGTTAAGTGACTAGCGCCGCCAATGAACAACTGCAACACCAGGTGAATTGCAGGTGCGTTGCCAACCTTTTAGAAAGGATAAGATCTTTTCTTGAAGGTCCCTAAGTCATGTTGGTCCGGAAAAATCGATGGTGGTAAATTATTCCACAGAGAGGTCGTACGAGGAAAAAACTCCTAGTAAAACGTACAGTTGTGGACCACCAAGCATTCAGATGGTGAGGATGGAATCAGGAGTTTGACGCGATGTGCGTTCGTGAAATTTGGCGGCTGGGACTAATCCGAACAATTCCTCAGAGGACTCCCTGTGGTAGATGCGAAAGAAAATGCAAAGGGATGCAACATCACTTCGCAGCGCCAATCGA